TCCCTGTCTCCTCCATTGGGGCAGAAAGGTTAGTTTTGCCTTTTACACAATGAAGAATCCAGGTTTCAAGATGAGCTGGAGTCAAGATGTATCCGGTTTAAAGACATGGGTGGTCCAAGCAGGCAGGCACAGAGGTTACTGTGCACAAAGGGGACAGAGGCCCAGTGGAAAATTTAAAAAAAAGAAAGAAAAGAAGAAGAGTTTGTTTTGATGAGTCAAAGCAAGGGAAGGTGGCTCTCCCATATGGTGGGTCCTGGGGTGTTGCCCCCAGGGGCAGAGAGAACCATCAATCACAGCTTCAGAAAAGGCTTAGGGAACTTCCAAAGCAGCTGAATGAACCCTATTGGCTGCAGAGTGAATGTGTTTCACAGGCAGCTGAGCAGAGGGCCCTGCCAGGCAGGGGGCTCTAGGTCTTAAAGAGATAAGAGGAATGTAAAGGAGTGGGACAACATCTGAAGCTGATTGCCTTGCTGGCCACAGCTGCATGGCTGCCTGGATAGAGGCCATTCACAGCCAGGGGCCCGAGCTACCCCTTCTACCTCCCATTAATGAAACCAGCATGGGGATCCTAATGACTGATCAAAGGCCCAGCAAGCTTCCCCAGGCCGCTACACCCCTGGCCCGGCCTGGTGGATGGTGCTAGAATAGAAGTGATTCAGAGGGATGCCTAACCCAGCCTTCCGGTCCCTTTGCAGGTAACCCATGGAAATGCAGTCTCCTGTGGTCCTGGACACCCCTTTCCTTACTCCTGTGGATGGCTGGAGGAAGCAGCAAGATGAAGAAGCCTGCTTTTGCCAAAGGACCTCCAGCAAATGCTTGACTTCCTTCTGAGCTGAGCCTCCCATACTGGTCTTGAACTTGGGGTTCTATTTTGCCAGTCTTGTTGTCTCTGGTCAATAATAAGGCTCAACTTTTAAGTTGAAGTGCCATCATAGTAGCCACTGTCAAGTCATACTACATCAGTGCCTATCAGCTTGTTTACTATGGGCATTAGGTTTGGTGGGATCAGACAAGATTTGCTGAGACTTCTGCTTTCTAGTCAAATGCTCATGAGGCAGCCCAACTTACTGGGGACCTGCAGACAGAAGATGAAACATGGCATGCATACACCATCAGACCAGATAAAAGATGTATCCTGCCTCAACACCAAGGGCAAAGATGTTCATTTAGTAGCATGCAGGTGTCTGTTTGAAAAACAGCCAGGTAGATGGGGGCTGGTACCAGAGTCTCTTTTATGGCAGTAGATGAAGGTGGAAAATCCATTTCCTTATTAGTTAGGTCCCAGTAGCTTCCTGGGGTGGGTTGCTCAGGGAGCTGCAGAAGCATTTTTCCTGGAGGAAGATTCTGCATGTGGACTGTGAACAGGAGACAGAAGGGCTTGAAGGTATTTCCGAGGTGGACAGAGTACACAAGAATGAAGAGTATATGTCTGGAAGGAGTGAGAAGTGGTAGTTCAAGAACATTCCAAAAGGGTTCTAGCGCCACACCCGCTGGGATTCTAAGCATGTCAGACAGGAGACAAGAGAATGACTTTGAGAGCCCTAGTACAGTCAGCAGAAGTGCTGGAATAAAGGGAGGGAAGTTGGGACTGTAATGTGCAAGTGGTAGCAATGGCTAGGGGAACCACCAAGCAGAATTATAGAACAGAAAGGGAGTGATGCAGGAATTAACATAGTGCAGTGAACGAAGGGACAGCACACTTCTATTGTTTCCCTGGAGACAGTTATTTTCGTCAAACTATCCTAGTAGAATTCCACCATCCCTACTGACACACCCCTACCTCTTCAGGGCATAAAAGGAGGGTCTGGGTCAAAGACAGCTCTGGCAGGCTGGAACTGATGTACTATAGTTAGCCAGTAGAGGGAGCTGCTACTCTAGTAGAATTTAAACAGGAAGCCAAAGGAAAGAGGAGGTAGTCCATAGGAAGTGTTCCACTGGGTTGTTGCTTTTGCAGTTTCTAAATGCATAATCAGTCTTCTGGGCACACTAAACAAGGCAATGTTCTTATGAATAATCAGTTTCCCCTAGATGAACTGAACACAGTTCTGTGGGGCTGGAAGCCACTTTACCATTGTACTACTTTGGCTTATGAACAAATAGTGTGGGGCCATAACCATTAATGTTTCTCTACTAAAATGAGAAGGAAGAAAAAAAAAAAACCTCCCTCATTTTTTAATAACTTTATTCCCCAAACTTCAAAAACGAAAATTGCCAAGTTAAGAATTTGCCTTGAAAAAAAAATTCTAATTTATTATGAAGAAGATCTGGGGCTTGGGAATTTTTTTTTTAATGCAGATTCCTAATTTTCCAAAGTGACATTCTCCTGTGCATTTGAATAGATTATGCACGGCACTGCTAGCCTTTCGCACGAGGGGAACATTATTAAAATGGCTGCACAGGGTCTCAGAGGAAAGGACTCTGCTTCTCGTTTCCTTTTTCATTTCGGAAATTCCATATCCAAGACTGTCCATTTCCTGCCTGTAGAGGAAACTGGATTTCTGAGGAGATGGTCGACAGATATGGTACACAGAGGGCAGAAGGCAGGAGATTAGATTTGACGGAATCCAGAGACAGAGGGTCTGGATTCCTGGGAGCCCCACGGAGGACACGAGTCCCTGTGTGTCTGACTCATGTCCCTATTAGGCCCTAATGTCCTGAAGACGCAGTGTCTGAGAATAGCCAGTGCTTAGGGTAATAACGTGATGGAAGGAAAAGGAGTGGAGCTTTCCCCTGAGGAGCTAGGCTCTGCTTTTGAGAGACAAGAGGACAGAAGGCCAGTACAAGGCCAACAGCCAGGCCCATGTGAAAAAAGACTCACCCCTGAAGAACAGGGGAGATTCCCCGCTCCCCCCCCCCCACCACCACTCATTGGCTCCAAGGCCATTCCTTGGGAGATGATCATCTTTGTCCATGAGTTAGAAACCTCTGGTAGGGCCCTCAGCCCCTGCTCCCTTCCAACCAGTCCATCCCTGCCAAACTCTCCTCCCCATCCCTACCCCTTTACTCAGAAAGCAGCCTAGCTCAGGGAAGGGTAGTGGCTGGTAATCCTAGCCAATTCCTATGAATTCTGAGGCTTCGTGGCAGATACTCCATTGCTGGGTCTCTAGGGTTACTAACAGAAATGCAGCCTTCCCAGGGCAAATTGCCTGTCTACTGTAAATGTGAATAACTTCCACAGAGCACAGCCGCGGGACAGTCCGTGCATCTGACTGCTGCTTGGAGGCTTCCCCCGTCTGTACCACCCCTGGCCACCAGGGGTTGGAGTAGCTCAGTGGAGGCATCTAAGGGGTTCAGGGCCCTTAGAATGTAGCCTCACCTCTGCCCCTAGCTTCAGCAGCTGGGGCTTATTCATCCAGCTGTACCCTGAGAATTAAACTCGGTTCCTGGATCTGCATTTTTTTGGACAACACAGGTCCTTGCTGCAGCTCCCCTGCTAATCAATCCCCCATGCCAAGCCAAAACTTCTCCCAGCTGCTCAGAAAAGACACCAGGCAGGGAGAGGAGGCAGGAGGGAGGAAGCAGCTGTTTCCAGTTGTACCATCCACACCTCCCTGATCGCTGGCACCTGCTGCATCTCCCCTTAAGCCTGGAGTCTAAGGGTGGGGGACAGGGGTAAGGGCCTTCATACCCTCTACCTGCTAAACACAGGAAAGAGTCCATCTCTGCTCTGCAGGTCTACTCTAGAGTTTGGAAAGCAGGATCCAGAAGGCTAGCTCTTTGATCCCCCCACTGTAGACCAAGTGGCTCCTCCACTTTGTCCCTTTTTCTTCTTCCCCTGCCCCCAGTTGAGGGCTACCGTGGTATAATGCTGCAAAATCTGTAACTTTTAACAGAGTGAGGGGTATAATGCCAAGCCTAGCCCTGTGGTCACCTGTGGAAAGCTACTGACATGAAGGATGATGTGGTTTGGCTAGGGGAAGAGAGTAAAATTGCTCTCTGCATCTTACTGCTCTGTGTGTGTGTGTGTGTGTGTGTGTGTGTGTGTGTGTGTGTGTGTGTGTGTGTGTCTTGAACTTATGGCTTAAACTTTGACCATTAACTTTTCTACTCAGGGCTAATGGCATACAACCTGAGCCATTCCTCCACTTCTGGCTGTTTTGCTGGTTAACTGGAGTCTCAGAGACTTCCTCACCTGGGCTGTGGCTTTCACACCTCAATCCTCAGATGTCAGCCTCCTGAGTAGTTAGGGTTACAGGTGTGAGTTGCCCTGGCTTACTACTCCTTCTATGCTGCATGGATCTGTGGGGAGGAGCCACATTTGAACTGTTGCTGCTAGGGACAGAGCAGGGCGGAGGCCAGTGGCTGGAGAAGAATGGCGGCATGGCACACAGTAGGCCCTACCTGCACAAGACTTGCCTGCACCAGCGAACATTCCGGCCAGTACATTTCACATGGCAGATACTCCATAAATAATTATTGAATTGCTATGGACTTCTGGTCAGACCAGCATAGAGAAAATAGGAGAGCATGAAGGGAAAGGTCAGAGAGGGAGTCGCCTCGTGTGGAAACTCAGCTGCAGAACTCACAGAGTTGGACGGGGAGAAGGGCTGGGTGTCAAGGACTGCAGGAGCTCTACACATCCAAGCCTGGAAACTTCTAGAAGGAGTATCAGGCACAGGTAAGAGGCTGCCCAGGAGGTGCTGGGCTGCTTGCAGGATTTTGAACTTAGGGATGAGTCCCAGAAGAACTCGAGTGAGCTCAGGAAAAAGAGAATCAGGTCTCAGAGAAAGGAACCTGCTTCTTCTAGTTAGAAGCCTGGCTGAGTCTAGATGAGAATAGATTTTTCCCACTAGGGAAGCAGACGAGGATTGGACAGGGGCTCAGGTAAGGATGCTCAAAGCACAAAGGTTCCCAGATACTCAAAGGCCGACCTAGAGTGTTTGTACCTCACACCTTGTGCCTGTGTATATTTTGCCCCCGTTGTGATGCAATTTGCATTTCCTAATGACCAAGGCTACCACATTCCCTCCCCCACCCCCATTCTTCCCTGGCACGCTCACCTGTGGGCTGTCCTGGTAGGGTGGGGGAGGGACATTCTGCGTGGCCATCATTGTCAGAGCTGGGGCTGGGGAGGCATGTTGCATCATGGGATTGATTCACATCGAGGATCTGTGGGTAGGAGAAAAGGGCGCCGCACTGTTAATACCACTGAGCGCAGGCTGTCCTGGGGACCAACCAGCTCCACATTTTGCTGGACTACTTGGATTGACAGGAGAAGCTGGGGCTAGAGCCCCTTTAGGGGAACAAATGAGAACCAAGGGATAGGTCTTGGTTGGCTCTAGGTTGGCTGTGCTATTTTGACTTGAAAGAAACAATATTCAAATCATATGTAAAACAACCTGTCCGCCTGCGGTGATGCTCTGTTCAGCATCAGCTCTGGCCTGCTGTGCAGGGGGAGGATGTGGAGGGCGGAGGGTGGCGTGGCTTGTGGTAGCCTGGCTAGTAGTAGCCTGGCAGGATTGGAGACTATTTGGACACCTGTCCTTCCCGGCCCATCCTGGAGGGTCCTGAGCCTCATGCCATCCCATCTCCGCCATGTCACAGGCAATCTGGAACAGCTACCCGCCTTCACAAGGACAGGAAGCCCTCAGGCTCCTCATTTCACTGCTCCAAGGTCTCCCAAGATCAGTCTCACCCTCCCCAGGGTGCTCACCACACCCCCTAGTGGTGGCAAGGGATTGTGGGATGGTGGACCCTGCTTACACTGTGGCCCAAGAACTTCCCGGAGAAGAAGCAGGAAACATCTCTCTGTGCCTCCCTCCCTCCCTCCTTCCCTCCCTCCCTCCCTCCCTCCCCCTTCCTCTCTCCCTCCTCCTCCTCCTTCTTCTCTCTCTCTCTCTCTCTCTCATCTTTTAGGTGCATTCTGTGAGCCCAGGATTTCTTTCAGTCTTGGTTCAGGGAACAGTCACAGGTATATGGCTTCTTGCTGGGTCAAGTGTTACATTGCCTCTTAACAAGAAGGCCCGTGTGTGTGTGTGTGTGTGTGTGTGTGTGTGTGTGTGTGAGAGAGAGAGAGAGAGAGAGAGAGACAGAAACAGAGAGACAGAGACAGAGAGACAGAGAGAGAGAGAGAGAAAGAGAAAGAGAGAGAGATTTCCAGGTCACCCCCATCTCATCACCAGTAAGTGAGCTGTCTGTCCCCACAGGGCCTCAAAATGTCCCCTTGCACTAGACTGTGGTGCAGTAAGTGGAGATAGCCTGGCAATACAACCCGAAGAGCAGAATGCTCACAGAGCTGCTGAGCTACAGCAGGTGTCCTGAAATATTCTGAGCCACAGGCCACAGGCTAGTTGCTGATACAGGGCTGTGCCGTGGAGAGCAGGGGAGATAGATACCTAATGCCTGGGGTGCAGCACTGGTGTCCTGAGTAGAGGGCGCCAATGAGCCAGGGCTCAGACTCCCCCCCCCCCCCCCAAGCAGGACCCTCAGGGGACCACCCTCCTCCAGTATGAGGCCCATTCTGCCTGACCCTCCCTAAGGTCTTCTAAAATTTCCACATCCCTGAATTCTATGGGAATTTGAGGGTATCTTAGAACTACCATTAAATAAAGGGGTAGATTTCCAGGGCAGGGTGTGTGTGTGTGTGTGTGTGTGTGTGTGTGTGTGTGTGTTGTTCTTTTAGTTCGTTTTTCCACAAGAAGGGGAAGGAGAGCTCTCCCCTGGCCTGACCTGAGTCTCTAAAGCACCAGGCATGCTTTGACCTCAAGTGCACAGGCAAAGCAGTGGAGGTTCATGTTTCATTTAATAGATGTTTATCACGGATCATGTCTGTGCAGGGAACTGTGCTAGGGGGTGAGGCCAGGTGGATGAATGAGGCCAGGTCTCCTCTCCAGGGAGTGTGCTTGGTAGATGGAGGCGATAATCTGGCAGGAAAATAAAGAAGGTAAGGTGAGGATAGAGCAAGGAGAGATGGCATTTCCTGGGCAGGGCATTTTTGATGGATCCACTGCCTATGTCTCTACCACCCTGGCCTGAGCTTCAGCTGAGCCATCAGGACATCTTTGTGACAGAAGTACATGGCATCCTGTCTGTCTCAACACCTAGATTTTCCTTTGCACAAGGACACAGCAGGGAGTCATGAAGGCTTCTATCTCCTAGGGGAGGGTAATTATCAAGACTGGTCATCATGGCTGGGTCTTTGTGCATATGGGGCGGGGAGGACCATAAGCCAAAGGACAAGAGTGGAGAGGAGTTCAGAGGGAAAAAGAGTACCGGATATTTCTCTTCCTCATCCTCCTCCAATAGAACACAGGACCTTTCAAATGTTAGGCACACGCCCTGCTAGATGCAGATTTCTTGAGACAGTAGAAAGGACTTCCAGAGTTAAGATTTCCAGGCATTAATATGTGGACGTTTGAAATAAGGAAATAGGGGTATTTTGAAAATGCTGGGTACTCTAGCAGATAGGGCAACTTTAGATGAGGCCTCAGGGTCGGGATGGCGTGGCAGGGTCTCTTTCTGGAGGCTCAGTGTTGGGTGTGGGGTGGGGGTGGGGGGGGTTCACGTGGGGAAACAGGCTGCAGGGATGCAGTACCAGAATCCTCCAGAAGAGGGAGCATGGGGGCAGAGTGAGTGGGAGCGGCAGCATGCAGGAAGGTTTTCCTCCCTTGTTGGGGTAACTGGTTCCTTTTAACACAGGGTTTTGAATGTTTGGGTAACTTAGTGCCATAATGAGAAATTCATAGCTAGGGCAAAGCCAAGGAAATGCAAAGAGAAGGACTTAAGCTAAACAACGGTGTCTTTAATCCTCATTCTTTTGTTCACGGGCCAATTAAGGGGAGGCAGGGTCAGTTTAGAAGCACTGTCCCTAGGCATCTTTAGAGCCGCCTGTTGGGGGACAAGGAGGGACAGTAAAGAGACCATCATCCACGTGGTGCAGACACTGGTTTAGTCCTGAGCCTGCTGGGTCGTGCAGCAGAACCCCAACAGCCTCAAGCAGAGGAGGAAGACACGATTTTCTGAGGACCCAGATGGTTCTCGCCCCTCCCCCATCCTGGGGTCAGCGCTGGCCTCTGCCCTACTGCCCTCTAGGGGGCCTCTCCCGAACAAGAACAGCAGGGGCTTCAGTGTCTTTCTCTGTTCACACAGGTAAAGAACCTTCTGGAAACTTGACTCGTGGGAGCTCAGTGGACATAGGACCCCGTGTCTACCCTGGGAATCCCCTTGTATCCCCATACTCTCCACCCTCCACCCATGTATGCCCTACCCCCACCCCGATCTATTCAGTCCTCCTAAGGGACCACATGCCCCCATCTTGGAGAGAACTTTAGAGATCTGACTCATCCGGTCAGGGACTTGGCTGAGACTCTGGGGCTTGGGTGTGGGGGGACATCCTTGAGCAATAGTTGGGGGCTGGCCATTTGGAGAAATCTGCCCCTTGGGGGCTTTCTGTAGAAGCAGGAGGGGCCCAGGCCAGGGCTCTTGAGTTTTTGTCAGGGGCTCTGGGAGGCTGCTGGCCAGTGCAGGGCTCTCTGCTTCTGTCACCAGACACCAGAGCATTCAAGGGAACACAGCCAAGTCCGAAAATGGAGGGTACCCGAGAAACATGGAGCTGGAGAAACCCCCCTCCCTCCCTGGCAGGCTGACATTGAGAGTTTTCTTTTTCATGCTGTAAAACTTTATTCTAAGACAGGTGAGAGAGAGAGAGAGAGAGAGAGAGAGAGGGGGGGGGGAAGGAAGGAAGGCGGGAGAGAGAGGGAGGAAGGGAGGGAGAGACACAGAGAGACAGAGAGCGTTCCCACTCAAATCCACAAAGATATTCAAAATCTGTGTCACTGACATGATCCTATGGTAATGCCATCTTAGCAACCCAGGAGCCAGGTGAGGCTGGTGGGGGGAGGGAAGGGGGCGTGGAGGGACAGGATTTTAGGAAACAGGACTGTGTTAGCCTAAGGGCACCATCTTTCTGGGTCTCCTCAGCAACCCCACAGCCAGTCAGCATGAGGCCCTCAGACAGGAGAATAAACCCCAGCAGCGTGTTGACAAACACAGGCTTGGGGGGGGGGGGGAATGCCAAGCTCGTTAGAAGGAGCTCATTAGGACTTGTTGACATGAAACCCATTAGACCAATTAACATTCCATTAACGGTCTGGGGCTCCAAGGGGTTAATGCTGCCGGGCAGTAATTGGACTGGGGTGCAGGGGTTGGGGGCTCAGGGCCTTAAGGATGAGAAACAAACTCTAATTGGGAACTGACTGGCCAGCTGGCCCAACAGCATTTGTTCCTGGCCCCTGACCCTAGCTGGGACTAAATTGTATGTGCTGCTGAGGTGGGGTTGGGGATGGGGATGGGGGATGGGAGGGACCCGCTTTCCTTTGGCTCCTCACTGCCTCCCAGGCTTGCTCTACACTACAGCCTGGGCCCACAGTTGGCACCAGGACAATGGGGAGGGGCTGTCTCTCCCCTGTGACTCGGATGGTTCTGTTTTCTTCATTAATTGCTCTGTATCCTTCGGCCTTCTGGTAATAGTTTTCTTTCTTAGCCTCTGGGAAGTCAAAGCTCCCCCCCCCCCCCATTCTCTTTCCTCTCTCTCCAGCCCCTCTGGTATTCTGTGAGGTTACTACTCTTACAAAATTGTAAAGAAGCTGGAATGGTGCTGCCTAGGGTAGAGGGGTGGAGAGGGTGGTCCTGTCCTTCCCTTCCTCTATTCCACGCCCTCCTGTGGTTCCCCTTAGAGTCCTCTGTCCATCTGTCTGTCTGTCTGTCTGTCTGAAACACACATTTGGTTTTCATGAGGTTCCTTGCTCTGCTATTGTAGAGGAAATGGATGTCTCATTCCCTGGCTGGGACTCCATTTCTCCACCTGCAGACTCAATCGGACAAGAGGACTCCAGAGTTCATTCTCAGGTCTCAGGGATCAGGAAGGCCTGTGTTCTAGGCCCCCAAATCTGGATCGGACTCCCAATCTGGATCGCACTCCCAGTAGAATTTACCACTGATCTGTGGCTAGGACAAGTCACACCCTTCTTAGATGGAAGAAGGAAGGCATCTCCTTCCCCCCAAGAAAAATGTTTTCAGTCTTTGCTTCACACCAACCCCCTTCCCACCCCCAACTCCCCACATTAGCCCTTGACACATGGTTATCGAACTGAATGCAAACAGTTGGATTG